TAAATGCCAGCCATGATCTGCATGTCTATACATGAAAGCCTCCATGGGAAAAAGGGAAGATGAGTCCTCCAAATGGCTTCCCATCTTTAAAAGTTGACCCATGTTTCTTTCCTTGTGACCTACAATTGTTGCCCATGTGCCTGAGTCCCGCTAGCCCTTAAAGCCTCTGGTTCCGTATCCTTCCTGTCACCAAAGTTTTCGCACTGTCCTTAAAGACAAAATCTTCCATTCCTGTCACTGTTTGTGAACTGGAGCAGATCTTCCAGGGTTTCTAAGCTCTTCTTCTAGCCAGGGGTCAGCCCATCATCTGTTTTTGTAAGTAAAATTTTGTTGGAAAACAGTCACACACATTCATTTACTATTGTCTATGGCTATGTTTGCACTATAGTAGTAGTTGAATAATTGTTCCAGGACCATAGAGACTAAAATATTTACTGTCTGCCCCTTTACTGAAAAGAAATTTTGCCAACCCCTATTCCTGACAACACACTGAGAGAGAGAGAGAGAAAGAGAGAGAATGAATATGTATCTGTACCTGTAAATCTATTAATCTGGATGCACTAACAGGTTTTCTAGTAAAATGTACTTCCTACATGGAATGTTTACCTGGCTACCTGATATGATGTGGCTATGATTATTCACTGATCCTTTTTCCCCAGGGTAAACTCTTCCACAGGGAAAGTGTCCCTATGAGTAAGGCTTTCCCCCCAGTCCCTGAACTCTGTTGCCTCTACTCCCTACTTCTATACCCAGTCTCTGCGAATGGGCCTCCTGTGAATCCTCTCCTGCTTGCTGTCAGGGCTCCATAAATTCCTCTGCATTCTTTCACTTTCCAAGGATTGTGATACAAGGCTTGTCCCCCTCCCCATGCAAAGTTCCTGCTGCTGGATCTCATGCGCGGTAGCCTCTCAGTGCACCCATGGGCTGCATTTGCCCTTCTGAGCCCAACTCCTCTCATGGTGCCTCTGCTTAAAGACAGGTGTTAGGCCTCACAGTCCTGTAATGAAACTCCTCAGCTGCTTGGCCACAGGTCAGGGTCACTATCAGGGTGTCTCTCAAGGATCCTGTCTTGCAGTTGCACTGGCCGTGCTGGCCAGGTGCCCATTTACACTTCATGGCTGTTACTAGTCTTAACATGAATTTATGGTCTAGACTCTCACTGGCTGACTTGACCATTGCTTTTTTAATCTGCTGTTGTCCAGAAGGGTGCTCATCGTTACGACCCTTTGTCAGGACCTGGAGGGAATGGTTTCTAGGATAGGAGGTCTTTTTCTCCTGAAAACAACAGATATGCTTTCTCTGTGTTCCATTCTATTTCTACTCTTATGACATTCCCTATTTTTCTGTCTAGCCGACAGAATTTTAATTCCTACGTATATCAAAGGCCATACGCTTTCTAACCCCAGGGCACATTTTAAAACCCTTAATTTATATTCCTTTCTCCATGTATGGAACGTACATTCTTTCTCTCTCTCTCCCCCCTCTCACATGTCTCTGTTTCTTTCCCTCCCTCCTTCCCTCCCTCCCTCCTTCCCTTCTTCTCACCTCTTTCTAGCTTCTAAGAATCAGAGTATCTGGTCTCAAATCTAACACCACTGTATTTCCTATATAATGTTAGACAAATCATTGTCTTCAATAGCTATAAGATTAAACCTAAGCTCTCTACCCTGCCAAATATATGTCTTTTTGTGAGGCTGCAAAGAGGAAGCAAATTCATTCATTTGGTTATCAGGTCATGTTTATCAGATTCGGGGATATATTTATGAAGAAGACAAACAGAGTCGGTCCTTACCCTCATGGCACTGGCGTTAGGGCTGGGAAGACATATACTAGATGAGGATGCAAAGTAAGTGTTGTGTATTGTGGTAGGTGCTTTGAAGGAAACGACTGAGAATGACAGGAAAGGTGATACTGAGGGCTGTCAGAAAATGCCTCTCTGCAGAAGTGATATTGAGAAAGCAGTACTTGAGGTCCTAATATATGAGAGTGAGCCCATCATATACTGAACCATGACGGTGCTTTCTATAAGCTGTAACATGTCACCTCAGTGAGTAGTACCCCCTCCGGTCCCCTGGGCAGTGGGGAAGTTAGGAAGCAGCAACAGTTTTTCCATTTCTGAAGCTACAACTACAGCGACCAACTTTCTTACAAATCTCCCTTTTTTCATCCAAATCCTTTATCTTTTCCTCCTCTTCTGTTTCTGGCTTGTGCTAGCCCAAGCTAAATACATGGCCCTCCGGCCCCTGTCTGCGATGCGGTCTTGCCCAGGCCCGCTCGCAGTCTTCCTGCCACCGTTGATGGTTTTCCTTCCCACTCTCTCCAAAACCCTTGCGACTGATTTCCTTTTCTAATAACCGTTCACGTCTAAAGCTTTCTCAAAGGTTTCCAGGTTGCCTCATTTTTGGTAAAACTGCCTATCCTTCATAATAAGCAACTTCTGATACCCACATCCAGAAAGAGGGAATATTTTCAGATTGAACTGACTGGAACTGGCTGGTACAGTGTCTAGCACATAGTAAATTCTGAATAAGTATTTATTGAATAATGACTGTATTAACTGATTCACCTAATCTTACTCCGACTATCTAGAGGATTGAAGTGTTTTTTCTTAATTACATGTATATTCTTTGCTCACATGTAAAATGCATATAAAAACCTTTATCTTTAGCTATAAAGGATATCAAAATCTTACCCCTTATTTACAAGATATTTTAAATCCGTTATATTTGCTGTTCAGGTGAAATTTTGTCATTGATCCTAGAGATACCTAGAGGCATTGACAGTGTCTCTAAAACTTTCAATAGTGTCCAGCACAGTGTATGGCCACAAGCACACAGAATTTAGTATGCATATGTATTTTTACCAATGGTAACAACAGTTACTGAGATGTCAATTGGTTTGGCTTTCATTTTTAGCATCCTGAATAATGATATATACATATATATATTTAGATTGAGCAGAAACTTCCTAAGGAAAATCTTTGTATTGAGGAAATTGTCATATTTTCAGTTAAGCAGCAACTAAAAGCAGTTTTTCTTTTTAAAAAATTTCAAATATGTCCAGAGTATGGTTTGTGTGATATTATTGTTCATCAGTGGCAATAAAAATTTAGTCTCAGATTATTAGTGGAATATTTATTTTTCATAAGTATGTAGGGATGTTTAGAGTCATCACTGCCAACTTGTTTCCAGAGTTGGATCTTAATTGTCAAGTATTTATTTTAAAGAAACAAAAATCTTACTGTGTTGTATCAATTAGAAATAACTTATAAGTGATCCCTTGGCTTCAGATTCTCTGTTTGTAGTCCTATAATAAAGTAAAATAAAGTGTCTCATTGATTTTTGTTGTTGTTGTTGTTTGTATATACTCTTTAATTCAAGAAATTTATGTAATTTAAACTCTGAATTTTTCATTTTGATCCATATGGTCAGGACCAACTTTAAAATGACAGTTCAGTGTTCATAATTTTATCATTTGTTTCCCTAAGAGATGTACCTATAAAGTAATGGGGCAATCTGCCAAACATACTAGGAGTTATGTGTCAGGGAGGCCCTTGTCCCCTTCAAAGCAGTCACCTAGGAAGGCCGTACATTTGTTCCAGTAATGCTGTTATGGCTTAAAATGTTGTGGAATGCCTCTTTTTAAACTGCTTCTGAACTGCTAAGAAATAATAAGGAGTATAATGACATTATTTTGAATACCTAAATTGTGAGAGGTGAATTTTATCTTGGTGAGTAGTAACAAATCATCCAAGAACCAACTATAGTGAATAAAATTTGGAGTATGATTTGGAGTCACAATTGATGTAAAATAATAAGGTGGGCTTTCTTGAATAACATATAAACTGACTCTTGAAATTGTCAAAGAGGAATTCCAGGACATTAAACCGTGGAATAAATGTATATGCTCCCAAGGTAGCTACTATGAAGAACAATACATGTTTAGGTTTAATAAAATGTGTATGTTTGCAAAATAAGATCAGTTTTATTACTTTATAGACATACCTTGTAGATGAAAAAAATACTCCTATCATGGAACTCTTTATAAGCAAACTTCCGAATGTAAGTAGCATTTCTGTCTCACCTTTTTAAAAGTCTGTTGAGAAACCTGAATTTCTAATAATGACTTATTTTGATCTTCAGCTTTAAAAAAAATGTAATGTTTACCGTTTAAAAAGTGGATGAGTTTAGGTTTTACTTCACCATTTTCCAATTCACTTTGTTATTTCTGCTCTTCAATTTTTTATTTAGTGTATTCATCTTTGTTCACCTTGAGATTCTCAATATGTATTCTCTTATTTTAAAATTATCATCTTCTTGAACCAAGGTAGAACATAAAGTCTCGGCTGAAGGTTACTAATTGTTTCATGTTACTTCAAGCTCTTTTTGTTTGCGCTATAATGATCAGATACCTTTTTTAAAGTGGAACCCCATTATCCTTTTAAATAAGAACATCGAATTACAAATAGCTAAGTCTTTTTATACAAGTAAATACTCTCAGCTTTGGAGTTCCTCTTAATGTTTTTCATTTCAACTAATAAAAGCTTGAAAAACAATTCAACCAAGTGGCTGGACCGTGTTTTTCTAGTGTGGACTCCAGGGGGACTCGTGGACTGGGCATGGGAGTGGAGCTGTTGCGTCCTGCTTCGCCGGAGCTTTTCCACGTCCTCCACGTCCATGTTCATCCAGGCTGCCAGGCCCCTATTTCTTCACTGCTAAGTTGAGATAATAAAAGTGAAATGGAACGTGGAAGGCAGAGAAAATTGTCATCCTTTGGCAAAGTGGCTAAGACAGCTAAATTGTGGCACAATTTAAACTGTTCAAATTTGGCAAGTTTGATTGAAAAATTACATGACCTGTATAGCTAGAGAACAAAACGGTCACTAGTTTATAGTTTAAAAAATCATAGTGTGGGCTTTTTTTTTTTTATTACCACAGACTGATAATATTATTTTATTCTGCTTGGCAATAACTTTTGCACAAATGACTGTTGTTTTGCAGTTTGGTGATTTAAATGCTGTGTCTCCTGGAAATCTGGATAAAGGTAAGAATTGAAAATAATGTACATTGTTAAAGACTTTATTTAACTGAGAAATTCTCATAGAGGAAAATGTAGTGTGTGTCTATGACCCTCATATTCTGTGGAAATGGCATACAATCCTAGATGAATATGACAGTATGTCTTAGGAATCCTTCACTATTTCTCCATTTCTTTGCTTTCTTTATGTGAGGTGCCTTAAATGCCAGAATTAAATTTAAATGCTGTTACAAGCTCATTTTGACTCTTTGCCTGAAATTCATCATAAGTAACAAGAAATTATTTCTATCTCCAGAGTCCTAGAGAAAAGTGATAAAATTGGTCAAAATATTTTTATTCAAGGCCTACCTGGCAAGAGAAAAGATTCCTCAGCCTCTGTATCACCACTTCACACTTCTCAGTGGAAAAAGAACTCAAAAAGAGCAATGGTGTTTACTGTAAAAGCAAGATCAGTAGTGGTATAGATGGAAAGGATACCATATGTTCTTAAATTTCCTAATACTTTGTTTATGCTATTACAGTTGTCCCTAATTTTTCTTCTTAAATTTTAATGCCAGCATTGCCACTCTAATACGACAATACGATATATATTCCTGAAGAACCTTCTGCTCTACAGAACCACAGAGTAAAAGGAATAGGGTTCAGGGGAAAATATGGTTGGAATAGAGCAAACACAAGCAAAAAAATCCTATAAAAAATAATAGCCCAGTTTTTATAAAAATGTAAAATTTCTGATAAACAGTAGAAAATGTAGGCCTTTTTTCAAAAACAAACAAAAAAAAATGGGTTTCAAGGAATTGAGTTCTATAGTCAGGGATAATGTGCACAAAGACTGGTGAGAACAACACGATTGGCCCTTCCAGAACACAGCCAGAACCAGTGGGCATCTGAGGCAAGAGGGAGGACTTGGGGAATCTGCACATGAGCACAGTGCTGTTTTCTGGAGCATCCTGTACTAGGTCGCTGTGTCCAGCAGCTGTGCCTCCTTGGTGGTAGAAAACATTAATGTGCCAGGAAAAGTCACCTGTGAATCCACAGCACCCCCATGTTGAACTGTCAGTCTCTACCAATTGTGGATGCATTAATTCCTGTTAGAGTAACATGCATAGTAGCAAAGCAGGAAAAGTAGAAAATGATAGCTCAAATATATTGTTGCTACAAGTATATACTCTAGGATTAGCCAAATAACCCTCAGAAAAGTAAGTTAATTATAAGATGATAGTAATTTGTAATTTCTGAGCAATAATGGTGGCAGTTGAAACCCATGTCCAACGTAAGGCAACCCTGGAGAGGCGCTGACTCCAAAGCCTCATGACCCAGATTTGGGGGTTCTGTCCCTCGGGTGCCCGGACGTGCACTAAGATTTGGCCAAACACTGAATGGCAGCCAGTCCTCTTTGTAAAGTGCTGAACCAAAACAAGGTCTTCAGTACACTCCAGTAGCCCCAAATTTTAATTTTGTACACCAAGTGTTCATAATCATAAGCAGGTTTCCCAGAAATGTCTTTGCGTCTTTATAGGTGCATAAAATATCTATGGAATTGCATTCTTTGCCCTTAGGAACTGGACCAAGCATTCTCGCTTTTGTGGATTGCCTTCACTCTATCCAAAGGCACCCTGTCACCCCAGCATGGACCTAAGCAAAAGCGGCCTGGAGCGCTGACCTTTGTTCAGTCCAGCACCCCGTTGCCACCGTCCCCATCCACAGCAGGCAGAGGAGAGGACTTTCCTCACAGTCTCTTCCCTGGCCTACCTTCTTGAAATGGTTCTTTTTTTCCCTTTCAGTGCTGTTTTTTGTTTTGTTTTGTTTACTATTATTATTTTGACACTATTTCTCAGGCACAGTAAAGTAGGTAGAGAGGGAGCTGAGAAGCAACGTGATTTTACCTCCCATACGTGGTGGGGCCCTGATGATCCCATCCACACCCAGACCTGATGCTTCTTGAGATACACAGCCAGATTGTCCGGATCAGAGCCTACGGCTTGAATGTGAAAACTTCAAGACTTTTTGTGGGCTCTTTCCTCGTAATAAAAGTAATAATACCTCTGTATAAATATTTCAAGCAATACAGAGAATTAGAAACTACAGAGAGTGAGACTTCATAGTCACAAGTGTAAGAGACTACTACCATTACCAATTTTGTGTGAGGATCCTTCCTTTTTTTCTTTATATAATATATAAACAAATGCATTAACTAAACAAAGTATCATACAAATGTTTCAATTATACCTCCTTGATGAATCATGTGTCTGCCAATGTATCCTTCTTCCTGCAGCCAACCAGTCCTTCAGCTGTGCTTGTTCTAACAAATCTAATATTATCAAGCCCATTTTGCATATAAAATACATGGGCCAGAACATCTTTTGCCTCATGTAAGAGTTCTGTGTTTATCGCTTAATGATGCTTTACAGACATCATTTCTAGTCAGTATATCTGAACTCCATCTTTTTAATTACCTATACCATTTCTCAGGAGATTTTGCTCCTGGCAACTGTGTATGGCACAACTGGACATGGAAGGTCCCTGTTATTCCTAACCAGTGTTCTCTGGAACCATCTTTGCCCCAGTTGATAATAAGAAAAGTCAAGGGGCCCCATGATATTAAGAGCTGCATTAGCAGGGACTTGTGTGGTAGCTGTGCCCCAAAAGGTAAAACTAGACTCAACCTTAGAAAGAGTCCAGCTTTATCTGACTGAAGAGCTACTCGTACATGACATGCCATTGAGGAAAATATCGTGGAGATTTGATTCTGCTTTTACAAGTCACTGTAAGTCAAAATATAACAAGTATAGAGATTCGAGTATTTTAATAATAAATGAGGTGTTCAATGTTATTATATATGTCTTTTTTTTTTTTAGTAAACAGTAAAACTTGTTGAAGTTAGAGTTAAAAGATTTTTAAGGCAAAAATATATTCCCACTGTTTAAAAATGATCACTCGTGAAGAGGTATTCTCTACACTCTTCTGAAGAGAATGTTACACAATAGTAAAGCTGTGTGAGCATTTCTTTCTCTACTTTTGAATTGTAACTGTGCTGCTGGAAAAAATTAAATGGTATTCCATTATAATTATGTTTTAGTTAATATAAAATGTATTAAAATTTAGAGGTAACAGTGACTATATTTAATACATTTAATTTCCAGAAATGAATACCAGCTATTAACAGTGAGTAACAGTGTTGCCAGGAATGGAAATTCATTGTGCATTTTTAATCTGATACTACTGCCTCTGTCTTTATAATTTTTCATAATAGGAATCAAGGGCCTATTTAATATTGTGGTCTACCACATTCGTGTGCACCAAAAAGTCTTTATAGTAGCCCCTGCTTATCCATGATATATAGGTCTCACCTGTTAAAGTGTATCTAAAGTATGTGTTGATTGCCATTTTCCAATTTGCCTTTTGGTAATAGTCTTGGTACTGTTTGTTTGTGCAGATGAAGGCAGTGAAGTGGAAAGTGAAATGGATGAAGAACTAGACGATTCTTCAGAACCTCAAGCCAAAAGAGAGAAAACTGAGCTGAACCAGGCATTTCCAGTGGGCTGTCTGCAGCCTGTTCTTGAGAGCAGCGTGCAACCAAGCCTCCTGAATCCAATTCACAGTGAGCACATCGTCACAAGTACTCAGACTATCAGGCAGTGCAGCGCTACAGGAAATACCTACACTGCAGTCTAAAGAATATTAAAGTGTATTTTTCCAGCTAACATTAACCCTGTTGATATTGGGCTTAAGTTGAAAATTTAATAAGCCTGAAGGTCGACTGTTGTCAAATTCTATCTGTGCTGAACATTACCTTTTTGGAGTTGTGAAATGGAATGGGTGTATGTATTTTGCCAGGTCTTTTTTTTTTTTAATGTAAACAAATGATTTGCCTCTTAATAATAAGAGTTTTTTTCCCCTTAGTTTCAGGTGTCAAGAAGGATTTTTACAACACTTAATATTTTTGTTTTCTTATAATTAAAAGTAATTTACATTTTTGTAGTTTAAATATTTTATTGTTGATTGTTAGTCTTGGTGTATTTCATGTGTAAATTTTTATTTAGATGCACTTCTGTGAAATATCAAAAGAAATGAATTTCTTTGATTTACACTGGAGGCATGCCCATTTGGCAGCAGATGCATCAAATTTGCTTTTGAAAGGTGCTTTTCATTGGACAGAACTACAAGACACTATTTTGATAACATTTTGGAGTATGGAGAAAGAATACAGAGCATTTTTATTATAGTGATAGAGGGTTGGGAAGGTCATCTATTTTTCTCTGAAGAAAAATTGAGCTGTGCATTTATCAGTTCAGAGTAAATGACAGAAATGCAAGAGATTATGCTAATATGTACATAATTTGTGTACATAATTATTAAATCATGTTAATGCAAGCTTCCGTTAAACATTGAATTTTAACTGTTATTTGCATACCAATTCCTCTGTTTAATGACTACTGATTCTGTATTTGGGACCACTGCACAGATGCATCCTGCTGTTGAGTGGGGCTGTTATAGTTAGATACTGAAGCTGAAAAAAATGACTTGACTTTTTTTTTTAAGTGTACATGCTACTTATGCTGAGCTGGACGTACAGGAAACCATTCCATTGGATGACTTTCTTTTATTCCAGGTCTTTTTTCCTAATAGTAGTTCGATATGCTGCTATTATAAAAGAAAATTTATAGAATGCAAGGAATGTAGCAACCTGCATATCGTTATTTCCTTCAAAAATATTTCCTGGTTTCTAAAGTATGTGGATTTAAATTTTAAACAGAACCTGAAGGCAGTGTAACTGGCACACCGTACCGTTGCTTATCCCCGATTCTGTAGGATTTGGGTAGGTGGCTGGATGGACCAGTGCCATTGAAGAATGTACATCAGGGATCATCGTACCTCGGCTATAACATGGTGCCTTAAAACAGAACTGAAGCTAAGGTTTAGTAAGGCTTATTTTGTTCATGTCAATTCCTCTTCAATCCACTTGACAAGATGTGCCTGTCATTTTCAGATTTTCGAAGTAAGGACAGGTTACATGTTCTTCAAAGGAAATGTAGGGCAAACAAAGCAAAACAAAAAGACAACAAATCAGTTTCCCTCTTTGAGTGACCGTGAATCTATTTTTTGTTCTTAGAGCTGAATATTACTTGATTATATAATCAGATTGCTTAAGAATGTGGAATAGCAGGCTAGTTTTAATTACCAACTTGTTACATAAAATCATATATATGTTAGACCATTCTTATCTAGTTATAATTTAAGAAAGTTAAAATAAGGTACTTATTGAAGTGCATCTTTTCAGTCTAAATGTTCGTCTGTGTGTCTGGGTGTCTGTGTCCACATGCCACATGAGTGCCCGTGGGCAGGAGTCAGCTACAAAATCAGAAGGTGAGATCCTAGAGTGGGTACACCCGTCCCCATTTTAATTTACATGAAGAGCCAAGGTTCTTTTAAGCACTCAAATTTTTAACAGCAACAACAACAACAACAACAACAACAACAAAGCAGGCACATCCATTCATTTAAATAGTTCTAAAAAAGCTAATCAAGAAGAATAAATACATAAAGCCAAAAAAAAAAAAAAGGGAAAGCACAAAATGATTCACAGATTATTAATGGGGCCTATATTAAACTCAAGATGTTTATCTTTCCTGTTTTATTGGGGTGGAGGGAGGGGGTGGAAAGAAGAGGGTGAGCCAATCTGTAAAGTTAAAAATACCAAATGGCTTATCGGGTAATGCGCAGTCTACTTCAACTGCTGTTGCTCGATGCCTTAGACTACTCAAATAGCTAAGATCAACAAGTTTCTTAAGTAAACTTTAAATATTTTAGATGTAATTTTTTAAATTGATTAAAATTTTGTATTATACTACTCACATATTTGAAAGCCTTTACTAGCTCATCACCTTTATCTAAATATCATTTAAATGATCATCCCCTTTTTTTTCTCCCAAAAAGGCAATGAAATTTGAACCATCACACACACACACACAAAAGGCAAGCAAGACACCCTAAGCTACAAAGACTGTGTATCTACTTCATGTGCATTAGGAAACATTTACAGGTAAATTTAAATCCAAAAATGAAAGAAATACTCTTCATCTGACTCTCCTTTCTGAATTTTTTCACTTTCCTCACCCTGTCCACCACCCCAAGAACTATACTATGTCTGTATTGGACCAAATGTATTTACTGATACCATCTTGTTTATTGAACAATTTTAAATGTATTTATTATCATTGTTTCCTTTAATGTTGGATATATTTGTTTTGTTAGAAGAATCTGAAAATGATGGGAATATTAGGTTAATTAAAGTTAGGAATCAAGGATCCTCCAAGATTCAACATTTCTTCCAGTTGTTCATGGTTTGTTCTAAATTTGGACAGACTGAGAATTAATAAACATTATTACATTTCAACTTGACTCACTAAAAATATTCTGATCTCCATTATGAATACAGTTAGGAACATTAATTTTTTGTGACTAGTGTAGATAGTTCTGATTAGTAGACAAATAATTTCTATGATCTATGCTACTTCCTGTTATTTGTAGGCCACAATATGACATGCACACACATTCAGTCACAAGATCTTAGCAATTTTGAACTTGGATTGTGAAATATATTAGAAAATACAAACATAATTTATACATTTATACATTTGAGCAAATTGGAGTATCCACAACTTACTGCATTTATCAAACATTTTAGTTCCATTTTTTTACTCATTGAAACTGTGACTTTTCTAATAATAGACACTAATATTCTCAGTAGGTTTATTGACAAGTGACAAGGACACATTTTAAGAACTTCGTAATATTTCTTGGCATTGTAATCAAACACGAGTCATGAAAAATACCTACATAGACCAAGGGATACACTTTCAGTGAGGAAAAATGTAAGGAAGATGTGCTGGCTATTTTTAGGTTACAGAAAAGATATTTTCATGTAATTGGATTGAGTATCATGAATATAGTTTGTTCTTCACATATACTTTGAGAATCATAACCAAAAGATTTGCATTCATAAAGCCAGTGAACAATAGGGTGAAATGGGTGAAGCGTTGCCTTGGAACACAGGATCCAATTTAAACAAATTTTTTTTTTTTTTTGGATATTAAGTAGCTGGTCACTTTTTCAGGATTTTCATCCAAACTCTGTTTGGACTGACTGTATAAGTCTTACTGCCTTTTCAGAAATCTGCTTTCCTTTTTGTGCTTTTTCTTGTACTGTATAGCACGGTTCATGCACCTCTCTTTAGATGGTGTACTTTAAAAACAAAAGTAAAATTTAGAAAATGGTTTTAACACTGCATAACTAAAATTAGTAGTGTGCAACATTGACTGCCTTTGATTTGTCGTAGACGAGTGAAAATGAACATGTTCTTGTAGAATGCTGTCAAAGTCATTCAGGAATGAATACAGTTTCATTACTGTAATCATGAACCTTTTTACATGAATGCACTCTCTAGAAGTGCTAAATGTGATGCATTTTCAAATTTTAAAAAATTCTTCAGATTATATATTTGAGATGTCTAAAATAATGCTGTGCTTGAAACATTAGTGTAAAAGAAAAAAAAATGTGTGTCACTGTGATGTTGGTCCTCCCTGTGTGGACACAAGTAGAAAGTAAAAACACTTGGGCAAGTCACCTTTGTGTATTTGAGGCAGTGGTTATATACAACAAATTGACTTTTGTTATCGCCTCCCCTCCCCCGCATTTTTGGTGAGACCACCACCATCAGAAGGTCAGACCTGGTGATTGGTACGAATTGTACCAGAACATGGGGGAAAGGGGTTGTCATGCAGTGCTATTGAAAATTGGGCTTGTCACTAGATCAGATCAACCTCCATGTATAGGGTTAGAACAAATCAATTAATGGAATCCTAGTATTTCTGCAAGTTTGATGATTTTTTTAAAAAAACTGGAATAGAAGCATTAATTCAGTGCTTAGTTCTAGTGTTAGAAAACCCCTTTGATGTAATGCCTTGTATTAACCCTTTGAGCATTGTAAGATATACAATGGGGGACAAAAGCCTTTCAGAACCTTTATTTAGACTTAGACTGGTAAAATATACTCTATATCCAAATGTCTAATTATGCTGTTTTTTTAAAGGGGGGGTAGGAAGAGAAAGTGTTTTCATGCTGAACACTTGCATTTTATATACAACTCTTAATTTTCTTCAAGAGGGCTTGATATATTTATTCCCAAATATTCACTGCCATCTAAGTAAGTGTACTGTTTACAGAAAAAAAAAAAAAACAACTTTTCTAGCATCACAGCATGACTCTAGAAAAGGAGGACAATACATGGGCCTGTAGACCTATGTCATAACCGATCTCTGCACATTGAACGTACCTAGATTGCCTTTAAAAGGTATGATAAAGAAAGGGTTACATTTTTTCCCAAAACAAAACAAAACGAAAGATCTCATTTATTTAGCTTTAGAAAGTACAATTGTAAGTGAAGCCTTAGGAAGAAATGAGTTTGAGTGGCTAAAGAAAAGCTGAACTCTTTGGGGGCAGGTAAGCTATCTGGAGTTAGATCTCTCATAACATATTGTTTGGGAATTTCATACAGGGCATAACTTTTACCTATGCTCCAAAAGTTTAATACTTTGTCAAAAAATTATATATAGATAGAATGGAGAGCAAAGCACTTGATTTTAAGCTCATCAGTCAGGAGATGCTGTAACTAC